TCTCTGCTCTCTGTCTCTCTCTCTCTCTCATCTCTCCTCCTTTGTCTCTCGTCTCTCTACTCTGTGTTCGCTCTTCTCTCTTCTCTCCTTCTCTAATCTCTCTCTCTCTCTCTCCCTCTCTTCTTTCTTTCTTTCTCTTTCTCGCTCTACTCCCTCTTGCCTTCCTCTCTCTCTCTCTCTCTCTCTGTCTCTCTCTCTCTCTTCTCTCTCTCTCTCGTGTATGCGTTGTCCCATATAAGAGTTTCCCTCTCTCTCTCCTCTCTACTCGTCCGTCCTCTTTCTCTCGCATCTCTCTGATCTCTCTCTCTCTCTCTCTCTCCTCCTGCTCTCTCTCTGCCCTCTCTCCCCTCTGCTCTCCCTCTCCTCTCTCTGGCATTCTATCTATGTCTCACTTCATACTCTCTCTCTCTTTCTCGTCTCTCTTATCCCCTCCTCTCTCTCTCACTTTTCTATCTCTCTCTTCCCCTCTCTCTCTTTCTCTCTCCTCTCTCGGCTCTCTCTCTCATCTCTCTCCTCTCCTTTTCTCTCTCTCCTTATCTCTCTCTCTCTCTCTCTCTCTCTCTCTTTTCTCTCTTCCTCTCTGCTCTCTCTCTCCGTCTCTCCTCTCCTCCTCCCTCCTCTTCTCTCTCTCTCTCTCTCTCTCTCTCTCTCTCTCTCTCTCTCTCTCTCTCTCTCTCTCCTCTCTCTCTCTCTCTCTCTCTCTCTCTCTCTCTCTCTCTCTCTCTCTCTCTCTCTCTCTCTCTCTCTCTCTCCTCTCTCTCTCTCTCTCTCTCTCTCTCTCCTCCTCTCTCTCTCTCTCCTCTCTCTCTCTCTCTCTCTCTCTCTCTCTCTCTCTCTTCTCTCTCTCTCTCTCTCTCCTCCTCTCTCTCTCTCTCTCTCTCTCTCTCTCTCTCTCTCTCTCTCTCTCTTCTCTCTCTCTCTCTCTCTCCTCTCTCTCTCTCTCTCTCTCTCTCTCTCTCTCTCTCTCTCTCTCCTCTCTCTCTCTCTCTCTCTCTCTCTCTCTCTCTCTCTCTCTCTCTCTCTCTCTCTCTCTCTCTCTCTCTCCTCTCTCTCTCTCTCTCCTCTCTTCTCTCTGTGTCTGTCTTTTGGGAAATTATGTCACTTGCTTTAACGAAACTGTTTAACGAAAATGATTTAATACAACAGAGTGAAATCATGAACTCGCCAGCACCTTTTTAAGGCTCCATTATAGCATATTTTGTCGGATTTGTCCTTGAGACTTTTCACGTCCGTATTTGTCTGCTCATCGACCTTGTCTATTGCTCATGAGGTTGCAAACATTGCCGTGGTTGATTCGAAGGAAGAGTGTATTGTTGCTTGATCCTGAGCTCGAAGCTATGCAACATATCCCTTTGTGAAAAAGCTAGGTTTGTGGTACTTGGACGCTTGAAGATGAATAAGCGCGTAAATATGTACAAGTAGGTTGGTTGCACTTTGCATCTTGTGATTTCTTTTTATTAACTGTAAAACTAAACAGGGGAAAGTTGTGTTTTGTTTTCCAATGATTTATACTTTTATTTTACTGTCATTATTATTTAATAACTACGTGCAGCTGGAGTAACTCACATATAAGAGAGAGAAGGAAAAAAACTGCCAAATTATTTATCAGAAATGGACAAAGTTTATACACACGGGCGCAATGCTCAGTAAAAAAAAAAAAAAAAAAAAAAAAAAAAAAAAAAAAAAAAATGTAAGAATATCTTCAGAAATATTAAAACGAAACAAATAAAAAATGAACACATACTAACAATTTAGACAAAAACACAACAACAAAAGAAAACGAACATGGGAAATTAAAGAGACACAAACACGGACATAAACCCACTTCAACGACGAGACTACGCACACACTTACACACAAATAAGAGTTTACGCATTAACAGCCACGCACACAAACTCAGAATACTTCCACAAACACATCAAAGCGCCCAAGAGACACAAGGTTAAGCAGCATAAAGACGGAGACATAGAAATTATAGAAGGAGAGCGGGGGCTGGTAGAGAGGGGGAGGAGGAGGGCCAAAACATGGGAAGGGGAGAGATGGTCAAGAGTGAAGGAAGGGAGGAGAAGGGACAAGAACAGGATGTTAAGGGAAGGGAAGGAGGAGGCAAAAGAAGGAAGACGGAAGTGCCAAAAGGAAGGAAGGAGGGAGAGTCACACCAAGCAGCCACCTTGTTAGTGAATTCCTGCAGCTCGAGACCCACCGCTACATCTGCAGATCGTGTTTATGTGTGATCGTTGCCGTTTATGCAGTGGCGGGCGTCCGTTTCCACCCTGTACACCTCTGACTCTCACCACATTTTCTCTTCCACCATTCTTATCCTACTTCTATAAAAAAAATACAAGTATAAATATACATACTAATATATATATATATAATTACATATACAGTATATATATAAATATATATACTATAATATGTACTATATAAATACAATATATATACAACATAATTATAGTATATATATGATTATACCTATACATATATATACATATATATATACTGATATATATATAATATTATAATAATAATATACCATATATACACTAATATATAATATTATATTATATAGGGGTATATATTA